TCTGACAATGGTATCCGCTGCCAAGGCTACGTGGACGATATAGTGATCATTGCCAGAGGGAAGTTTGAGAGTACCCGCTGCGACATCGTTCAAAGAGGCTTAAGATTAACAAAGGAATGGTATGCCAAGTGAGGGCTGAGTATAAATCCAGCTAAATCTGCCATCGTTCCATTTACTAGGAAAAGAGCCATGGCCTACCGGCCATGAGGGACATTACCTTGGATGGGGTCGTGGTCAATGTCGCCAGCGAAGTGAAGTACCTAGGACTAATGGACGAACTCCTACCTGAGTAGATTGATGAGAATGTGCCAAATGAGTGTCCGACATGCGGAGAGACCCCACATGACTATAAACATCTCTTCGCATGCCCGGAAAACCCGACAACCCTAACGGTCTTGTCCCTGTGGACCAACCCTACAGAAGCTGCACGCTGCCGTTAGTGGAACTTGACGACAACGACTAAGATACCAACCGTCCTGGGCGGGGTTGTTGTAGCCGCTACAATAACAACAACAACCTAGGACTAATCCTGGACACCAAACTTCGATGGAAGAAACGTGTGGATGCGACCACATCCAAGACCACGAAAACATTAATGGTGTGTAAGCGTCTGTCGGGAAAATTCTGGGGTTGTAGCCCCAGGATCCTAAGATGGCTTTACACCATGATAGAACAGTGTCCAATGACAGCGCTGGAAGTGGTCCTTGAGCTCGAACCCCTTTATATAACCATAGAACAGGTCGCCAAAAGAACTATTCTCAATTTTGCCAGACAGAGATTTGGAAGACGTAAGGTCATTTTCTCCAGAAGCATGGGGAAGCTGGGTCCTCGCTCCCGCTAGCCCTGCTTCCGAGGGATGACATATGTAGAGCTATAGTTTTTGAAACGAGGTTTAAAATTGAGTTAAGCAGTAAAGCAACCTGGAGTACCTGCTCCTTCGAGAGACTCCTTCACAATAGTACATTGCAGTGGTATACAGACGGCTCAAAGACCCCAGAAGGAATAGGGGCTGGAAGCTCTGGACCTAGGTCCAGTATCTCAATCCCTATGGGGAAATACCCGACCATATTTCAATCTCAAGTCTACGCCATCTATTTGTGCGCGGAGACCATCATAAGTAGAGGATACCGTAATGAGAGAATTGTAATTCTAAGTGACAGTCAGGCGGCACTCACTCATCAAACTGGCGTGGGTGCCTGGCCATATGGGAATAGATGTGAATGAAGCGGCGGACTGTCCCGCTAGAGAGGCGGCAGCCCTCCAAAGGAGAGGATAAGAATACTAACAAGTTTTCTTACAGGACACTGCAGACCAAGAGGGCATCTGTATAGGCTGGGGATACGATCACATGACCTTTCCCGGTTCAGTGACATTTCCAGTGAAACATCACTCCAATTCCTCATCGAGTGTGGTGCAGTCAGCAGAAGACGTGAGATGAGTTAAGGCTCAATGTGGCCACAGCTAGAGCATATTCACTCTTTATTCCCGAAGAAGCTTTGGAACTTCCTGAGGGATCTTGGCTTGGAGGAAATATTATGAAGAGCAGAGGACAGAATAGATCATTAGGTCGCAGTGCATACCTCATCATATTATATATCTATCTATCTATCTATCTACTACTAGTCGACACGCGCAATAGGGGTGAGCTTTTTATCCTTGATAGAAAGCTGAACGATCGCTCGGCGTTGGCAACCGAGACTGGCAATGTGCAGCACATTCGCAAAGCGAGACAGGTGTTTCTAAATTTTTAGTGTGATCGCATTTAAGTGGTCAAATGAAGGTATGCAGTCCTTAGAATTTTCAGCAAAATTCGCCC